CCTCCTGCCCCAGAACAAAAGGGGAAGTTTAGTGAGCAATTCTTGTGCGTTGTAGCAGCTACTGCTCTGGAACGCTCCGCAATTGGTGTGAACAAGCCCTCAGTTACAGTATATTGCCTTTGGATATAAACGGAGCTGGCAAGCATGAACTGTTTTGCCAGGCACCAGTGGAGTCCATAACATCTGCACATTCTAGCTACAAAATTTCAAAAAACCTGCAATGCATGCATATTTACCCACTTTCACATTTATCGCTTTAAAGTACCCTGCAAGTACAGAAACATATCCATTGATCTGCCAGAAAAGCACTTAGCTCCTAAGCCCTGCTAGTGGCTGACAACATACAGCATGTTTTGGGACTTAGTGGTGTCAGCTCTACCTGGTTTTGTTAAACTGCTAAAACCTTCCCACTATCCTATTCTCCACAACATAGTAATTATTCTTTGGTCCAAGATAAGAACTGGAAGAGCTAATTAGACTCATTGAGATAACACAGAATGTATGTAAAGGACAGAAGACAGCTCTGATCTTCTGACATGATCAATAGGTATTATTTTACAAGAAAAATGCTTTCAATGGTATATTTAACATACCAAAAGGTTTCAAATACCTGTTGCCTTGTGCCTGAGTAATGCAATCTAATGAACAGTTACAAAAGAACTGAAACAAAGGAGCAGAAACTTCTGACTTTTTTGGGGAGTTGCAGACTCCAGAGCTGTCATTGTTATCCTTCCTTTACAACTTGGTGAGTCACTGACCTGGAACAAGCATGTGCATATCAGATGTTGGAAAACATAAAGTGATATTAAAGTCAAAATGTTCTGAATCCACTCCCCTGCTCCCTGCTCCTCTTTCATCCCTTCTTTAAGCTAGTAGATGAACAGCTGCTGGAAACTGTGATCTGTGATCTGTCCCTTGGGATGTTTTACTGGGCAGGAAGATCAGGGAAGCCAAGCAGGGAGAGTTGGAGCCAACTGTTCTGAAACATGATGACTGTAAATGCTTGGCCAAAAAGGTAAAGACATTTGATTGATCTGGATTCATAATTTAAAAAAAAAAAGTTTGAGAGCTAAATACTACTTTAAAATACAAACACTCATTCTGGATGAAGAAATATCCTAACAAATTAAGGATAGGAATGACAGCCATGGAGCCTTCAGAAAGAACTCAACAGCTCCTAAATTTCTATCCTGTCAGGTCCCTTTAAGCATGTCAAGACCTCTGATGCTGGGCTGGACAAGTTAATTTTTAATAATCTTATTTTGGTATGTAGTAAATATAGGAACATGTTACATTTAAGTAATCCTTATTTCTAAATACTGAAGAAATAATTATTAGGTCTAATAAAACAATCGAGTATATTTTCTATATAAAAACGAACTGTACTGAATCCGCCTTGTGTCTCCAAATGGACAGGTTCTTAAATCTGTTCTTAAAGTGACACTAAACTCAGGAGCTATATCTTCAAAATGCATTCAAACACATTAACTAATAACACAAATGTATCTTATTTGTGTATCACTCGGCAATAGATCCTCAAATCATCTCTGAATTCATGCTGACACTGTCCTTCCTTCTGGAGGGTGGCTACTTTTGTACCCCATGGTCAGTGTGTGCGTTGTAAAGTAGCCACCACTCCAAGCTTGTGATGGACTACAGTCTCAATATAAATTAGTAAACTAAATATAATTCGAGAGTTTAGAGTCACTTTAATATGCAGGTTCCACTATGGAGTAGTGCAGTCATCAACCTCCCATTCACTAGGAGAATAAGTGGAATATTCCAATTTTACAGATTAGTGAGAGCATTCTAGGTCACTTGGCTTGTTTTTACAGAGGCCGCTGGTGTTATTGTTTTCCATTAGTCTGCCATGGATCAGGTTGTAACTCATATAATGAATTCTGCTGTTGTAAAGAGAATTTCACACCTTGCTAGAAGAGATGACATTTCAGAATGCTTGATGGATGTAGTGAGCTGAGACAGCATCTGATTTATCAAGTGTTTCCTAACAGTGCTCTCTCCCTCTCTGCAATTCTCAGGATTAACAAAACCAATTTGTTTTACCTACATTGTCATACATATTTAAAAAAAATAAAAAACTGAAAATCTGTCACTGTCATTTTTAATCACATTCTAATCTGTGGACTGTCCTTATACAGGGAGATGTCTCACTGGGAATGATGGACTGCCAAGAGATAAAAAATGAAACTGTGTGATAAGTGTTTATGACACCAAAACCCATCCACTCGATCTCCACAGGTGATTATCAAATCTGAAGCATCATTCAGAAAGATCGTACCATGTATGGTTGCTCTAATACGTCACTAAATTTTCACTGGCTTCAAACTGACAGGACAGCCATTGGCATCATTGTGGCATTGACCAACATTGGGGACGACACACTTGTGGTCGTATGGATGTAGTCGAAAGCCTTAAGCCAAATTCATGAAAACCCTGAGACATTTTAATTGTTAAAACTGAAATGTGCAGTAAATCCAAGAAGTTCTTATTTGTGATGCGTCTACTGTATAGAGCTATTGTTGCAACAGATTCATAAAGAAATACCAACATATTGATGATAAGGAAAGAGAGGAAAACAAGACCTCTTCCATGTTCAGGTGTGAACGAGGGCTTAGAGTATATTGTTGATTGTGTGGTATGTGTAATTATTGTGTTGCTTCTTTCTGCAACAATATTCTTCTTTAAGTTCCTCTGGAACTGATATCTGATACATTCCCATTACTCTCCCAACTTCTCCAGATAGCTTCTCTGCCTGTAAATCTCTGCTAATTCTCAATAGAGAGTCGCTTGTGACAACTCTGTCAGAATTTTATTTAAGTTTTATTACGTACAGGTATTTATAAAGCGCTGACAATTTAAGCAGCACTTTACATACTGTACATTCACATTCAATGGCAATAGATTCATATTCACCGTATCAACATGTAGATGCATCTGTTGTAACAGCACAGTGGCTTAGTGGTTAGCACTTCTGCCTTGCAGCACTGGGGGTCCCTGGTTTAAGGAGTTTGCATGATCTCCTTGTGCTTGCTTGGGCTTCCTCCCACACTCCAAAAACATGATGGTAGGTTAATTGTTTTTTTCTCTAAAGTAGCCCTGTGTGCATGTGAGATAGGAACCTTAGATTGTAAGCTCCTCAAGGGTAGGTACTGATGTGAATGTACAATATATAAAGCACTGCGTAAATTGTCAGCACTATATAAATACCAATAAGAAATTAATAACTTCAGCCATTTGTCTTACTACTCAAGACAGATTTCTAAAGAGTATCTAAAACATTCTTTATGAATTTTAGGGGTTATGTCTGGTTTGCCTGTAGTACTAGCACTGTGTCATATTATGCAAACAAGAATAGAGCATTAATTGGTCCTTGGATCCCTTGTATGTTGATAGATACTGCTCATCCAATGCACTATCCATTTATAAGTGGTGTTGCTTGAAAATCCACTACATTACTGTTTCTTCATACAGCTAACTGCCATACTTAATACATAGAATCCAGTTAATACACACATTTTATAACAACCATCCGCTTCCAGTATTCATTCAGACCATGGAGTTCTTACTTATGAAAAAAAAAGAAAAACCATAGTTGAGATATAACGTCACTAATCCATCAAGCCCTTATGGTACCTGTATCATAGAGCAAACCTGCTCTAGATATAGGGAGAAATCTAGTGCAGATAACTTACTTGGTCCTACTAATCACATTGCTTTCAGAAGCCAGCAGTGGTCTGCTCAAGATTCCTTGACATATCTGCAGTGCCATCTCCAATATGCAATACAAGCGCCATACAATTCCAAATAAAAGAGCATGGTGCTTAAGAATACTTTTTATATAGCCTTTGATTTGTAAGTTGTGATTTCGATACTCAGCAGACCAGTGAAGGTGTATTTGCCACAAGTTAGCTAAAGATGTTTTTGTTTTTAGAATGTTATATTCCCTTTAATCTGATGACCTCTTTTAAGCAAACCTGTCAAATGTGTAGTAAAGCTGGCCATACACTGTATGAATTTCGCCCGGTACTTGATGAACAGACTGAAATCTGTTCAGTGGGTGCCCTTGTTGTTGGATGTTGAATGTTGATCCAACATCGTTCTATCAGAAACTCAAAGGAGCCAGTTGTAAAATTTTTGGCCATAACAGTGATGGCAGACTGTTCGGGTATTCTGACAGCCGCATACATGCTACTGTCAGCATACGACAGCCAACTGGTACATTCCTCCATCCGCACTATTTAGCGTTGATCTAGCAATCTGTTATATGTTTTGGTTCAGTCCGCAGTTTGAATGAAAAGAAATATGATAGTGTTCGGCCAGCTTAACTCCCCCTCTTAGTCAGATCTTTTTTTTTTAGTGTGACTTGTTACATGCTTATATTGCACTCTTAACTATGAGTGCAATGTAACTGCCCAAGGTTCATATTAAACATCTATATAGGAATGTACTTAAAAACAATAGAAACATCTGCACGTGACTGGCTGTTTGAAGCAAATGCAGGTTCACTTCACGTAATCATATTCTCTGTGTACAAACTGAGAACATAATGGGGTTAAGTTTGTAAAGAGAAGAGGTTGTTCATAATGAGGCTGATTCCCTAAAGGAGTGAATGCTGCTCACCTAGCAAAGTGAGTGATAGTAAATAAGGAGAAGCTGTGTTCACTTTGAGTATCCAATCATATGTGAGCGATATGAAACAAAATAAAAATGACATGATTAGCTCTACTAAGTAAACACAGCTTCACCTTATTTACCAACATGCACTATGCAAAGTGAACATACACCTTGCGAAGTGCACAACCTCTATTCCTTTAGCAAGTCAACCCCACTGCCTATATTTAGCTGCTGAAAATTCCAAATATATTCTAGTGCATATATTACAGTATTATTCCATTTGCACTGTAAAAACATAAAACTGCTTAAAAAAACAATGTATAAAATAAAAACAGCCACCAATGCGGCAAAATCAAAAGACATACCTCTCTTCCAATATGGCAGAATAGCAAAGGTCTTATGCCAGTTAAACATTGTCTTGCTCCAGCAAAGTCAATCTTGTGGTTTCTGCACTTCCCCAGGAGTTAGGGACTTAAGGAAACAGAATCTGGATCTCCCCTCTGCAATCTTCCTTTTTTTTTTTTCCTAATGTAATTCTTTAAAATATTCTTTTCCTCTTTCAGTATCCATGATGGTCAGCATTGCTGAGCTCTCTCTGCACAATATGTACAGCCAGCTATGTAAAAAGGAGCTAGCTTCCAGCCGTAAGGAGAACCGGAGGCTGGATTCTTGTCTCTGCAACAAGAGGAAACTGAACTAAGAGCTCAATCAGTGCTGGCTTTTTCAGAGGCTGAGCTTCTGAACTGTAGGTGGCTCCCAGCCAGGAGAGAGTAGGGGAAAAAAAAAAGGGAGCAGCCCATAGGAATGTATCTCCCTTGCTTGATAAGCCAAGATGACTAGATGGGTTGAAACCAACCTCTGTTATGAGTGCGCCCCTGAAAATGCCTCAGACCTGACACAATGATCAGCACACGGCTATGTTGTACTGCTCAAATAACTTTAACATAAAAGAATTCAAATATGTGCGCAGAAGTATGTGATGTAATCAGATGTCAAATCTCCTGCAAACAGAGATGATAGATAGGGTACCTGGGGATCAATGTTCTTTTATGGTGCCTATCTCCAGGAGAAGAAACACTACCGTTGCAGGGGGGCTGCACTGTATTATTATCATTATTATTATTATCCAGGATTTATATAGTGCCAACAGCCGCAGCGCTTTACAATATAAAAGGGAGACAGTAAAGTTACAATACCATTCAAGACAAGAGGGTTAGGAGGGCTCTGCCCGTGAGAGCTTACAATCTAAAAGGGAAGGGCAAGTGATACAATAGGTAGTAGCTGCGTGGGGATGAGTCGTTTGAGAACGTTTTATAATAGCTCATTTGTTAGGTAGAGATGGGATAAGCTGCCCTGAAGAGTTGAGTTTTCAGGGATCGCCTAAAGGCAGACACAGAAGGAGATAGCTGTACAGATTGGGGTGAGGCATTCCAAGGGATGGGAGAAACTCTAGAGAAGTCCTGGAGGCAAGCATAGGAGGAGGAAACAAGGGAGCTACTAAAGAGCAGGAGGTCTTGGGAGGAGCAGAGAGGACGGTCTGGGTGATATTTTGACACAAGGTTGGTGATGCAGCCAGGGACAGATCTGTGGGTGGCTTTGTATGTGGTTGTTAATATTTTGAATTTTATTGGTGATTGGATGCCAGTGGAGGGATTGGCAGAGAGGGGTTGCAGACACTGAGTGGTTGGTAAATTCTGGCAGCAGCTTTCATGACAGATTGAAGGGGGATAGCCTGTGTACAGGTAGGCCAACGAGGAGGGAGTTGTAAAACACTGAAAGGGTTAACTGCTTGTTTGTGTCTAGGGGGATTGTGAAGGTCTTTATCCGCTTCCCGTTCAGTGGCCATATATAAACGGCCGGATGGGAGCTTTCTAATTGCGGGTGGGCGTTTAAAACATCCTTGTGCCTGTGCGTGCACGAGAAGGAAACTGTCAACATTTGAAGCAGCCGGCAATGGCTGTTTACATACATGAGATCTGGCGGCAGTAGAGATTGTACGCGGTGCCACTCTATGCGCCCCCCACTGCCGCCGCCGGTCCCGAGCTCCGTTGTTCCCGGGACCGGCGGATCTGTGCAGGGAGATCGGAGGGAGTACAGTACACAATCTCCCTCTGATCTCCCCTCCAGTCTTGTGAATGCAATAAACATCACTTCCGCATTCAGCTGTCATTCTCCGGCTACAGAAGCTGGAGAGAAGCTGATGAAGCAGACCTCTGCTTCATCAGCTTCTCTGGGGGTCCCAAGGTGACATTAGGAGTCATAAAGGCCCCTGATGTCTCCATAAAGAGGACCTGTCACTGTCATTTGATATCACATAGGGGGGCTTGCTAGCCCCCTGTGTGATAATAAAGTTAAGTGTAAAAACAATTAAAGTGTAAAAACAATTTAAGTTACACATAAAAAAAAAGCACAAAAAAAATGTTAAAGTCCCCCACCCCCACATACACATCCAAACATGCGTCAGGTGCGCCTACGTGCGAAAATGACCATTGCGCCTCACATGTTACATATCACCGCGAATGTCAAAGAACGAGCAATAATATTAGGGCCATTAATCACTGTTGACACTAAACTGATGAGCGGTAAAAGCTTTTAAAGCGTCGCCTATGGCCAATTTTGGGTATGGTAGTTTTTTTGCAATTTCGCGGGTACACGCAATTTTAAGCACTCACCACTCACCATTCTCCCCCTCCGCTGTGGCAGTGGAATGTTGATCAGCGTCCTCACTTCTATTACAGCTGTATTAGATGTAATGACATCACGGGTCCTTAGACTGCCAGAGCCTGGGTAAGAAGGGGCTGTGGGGACTGGTCTAGCAGCCAGGCGGGATCGAAAATCAGGTCAGTATATTTTCTTTATTTTAGACCCTAGTTCAAACTGAGTAGTCAACCCTTGCAGTGCGGGGGTAGCCCCACTGCAAGGGTTAATTTTTACATTTCTTGGACTTCTTGAAGCTGTCCATAAACTGGTAGATTTGTGTACGATTGTAGCTGGCCATACACCTATAGATTTTCTATGGTCAGATGGAAAAAGTGCAACAGATTCCTCCATCTACATAAATTGTGTGGATGGAGTAATCTCCACCTGGGCCAACCTGCAGTATCTTGCTAGTCAGTCCCGCTGGCTGTCCAAATCCCTGAACAATCTGATTGGATGGAGGCATTTTGAGAACCAGCAGGCCGACTAGCAAGATACTGCAGGTTGGCCCAGTGGGAGATTCCTCCATCCACACAATTTATGTAGATGGAGGAATCTGTTGCACTTTTTCCATCTGACCACAGAAAATCTGCAGAAAATCTATAGGTGTATGGGCAGCTTAAAGGTGGCAATACACCTTACAGCCATTGTACAACTTTTGTTGTCCAGACATCTCACACTCGTTCAGTTTACTTACAACTAGCCCATCATGCACAGACCAATGTAGTTCACAATTAACGCTCGTCAGCACCACCACCTGGCCGATTTTCATCGATCGAAAGATTTTCATTTGAGCATATGGAGTTTGTATCTTGAGATTTTTGTTTGTAACAACCACGCCACTAACCTGTCAATTATCATCCAATCAGACAAAGGTTTTCTAGCCTGCTTGAAAGACAAAAATCTGCCAGTTGAACAGTAATTGAGGTTGTGCACTTCCCATCTCCAGATACTTGTAAGGTGTATGGGCACCTTTAAGGTGGCCATACACTTTACAAGCATTGCAAGACCTTAGTCTTGCGATGGTTGTAAAGTAATTTAAAAAACGTACGATCTGCCCATCTTGGACAGGCAGATCGTACTTGCGATCATCGCAAGCCCGCCCCCCTGAGGGGCGGGCTTGCAATGACCACAATGCTGAACGGGCAGTGTGCGCGTGCACACACCGGCACGTTCGGCATTTGTCTCCCGAGCACCGTTCAAACCAGCCGAAAATCGTACGATTTTCAACTGGTTTTCTAGCATGCTCCTCAGACAAAAGACGTGCGACCGTACAGTAGAAACGGTCGCACGTCTTCATTCACACTGCACGATTCTCGTACGATCGTGGGATTTCCCGCGATTCTCGTACGAGAATCGTGCAGTGTATGGGCACCTTTAGGGTGACAACACTTACTCACGGTACTGTATCTATGGAGGAGCAGTGTGGTCATCCTAAGCTGCTCTCCAGATCTGGACTACAAACACCATTTTCCCCATCATATGGAGAGCAAGTGTTTTGTAGTTTACAGAAGATAGCTTGGAAAGTTATTTCTTAGTGATTTCAGCTCAGTTTGGAGTAAATGACAAGGACACTGGAGTTCTATCAGGATCAAAGAGAACGTTTTCTGCACTTGCAGAGAACATACGTAACCAGAAAAAATAAACTAATGCAGCCACCACATCTAAGGACAGGCCACATTTTTATATACATCCTTTTTTTTATACACAGTATATCACATTCTTATGCTTGGATTTAGATACACTTTAAAGTGACATTAAAGGCAAACATTTTTTTCCCTCCCCCCAATGTTAATTAAAACACTTACATTAAATGATGTCACATAAATGATGTCTCTTAGTCCGGTCTTCCTCTTCTTTCCTGTCCTTTTCAGCATCTCTCCAGCGCTGCTGCAGGTCTCCGATCCAGCTCTGACTCCTCTGAGCTTGCTGGCACTTCCTGTCCCACGGTGTCTGCATGCGGGTGCACGCGTCCATAGACTTACCTTGTGTCTCTCCTCGTCTCCCGGCCAAAAATCTGAACTGCGCGTGTGCCCGCCCCAAGATGCTTTGCGGACGCCCGAAGACACAGGTAAGTTTAAACCGCTTTAACAGCTTTTTTTTGTTTTTTTTTCCAAAACTTTTTGCATATATCTATTGCTTGCTAGCAGTAGATATATGCAAAAAAATCAGAGGGTTTAATAACCTTTTAATGGAAATTGCTTCTGTTCGGTTATTACTGTTATTGTTGAACAGCATTTCCAAGTAACTAGTGAAACCATTCAGTGAGCTATTAACAACCATTAACAACAAGTGTGCTTAAAGTGTTTTTAAAGGCAGAACTTTTTGAATATAGTAGGACATGGTTAAATCCCTGTCTGTCTTTTGTATTTTGCTGTCTATATTCTGTTAAACTTTCCCTTCACTTCCTGACCTAGAGAGACACCAGGAAGTGAGAGGAAAGCTCTCCAAAATGAGAGAAAATGAACTCCAGAACAAGTGTCCCATTGGAAGATTTTACATCTCTTTGTTTTTAGGTAAAATGTAAAATTTCTCATCAGTTCCTGTCCAGAAGACAAACAGGACAAACGGAGAGAGAGTGAGGACAAATCCCCCCCAGCAAAGACACAAACAGCAATATAAACCTGACACACAGGGGTTCTAACACTTTATTATTATACAGGATTTATATAGCGCCAACAGTTTGCGCAGCGCTTTACAATATAAGGAAGACATTACAATCACAATATAATTCAAGACAAGATGGTAAGGAGCTTGAGGGCTTAACCTTACACACCTTACGATAATTGTACGATAATCGCGGGAAACCCCGCGATCGTATGATTATCGTAAGGTGTGTGGAAGGTGTGTGGAAGGTCGCACGACTTTTATCTTACGAACATGTTCGAAAACCCGCCGAGAATCGTACGATTTTCGGCTGGTTTGAATGATGCTCGGGAGACAAATGCCGAACGGGCCAGTGTACGCAAGCGCACACTGCCCG